CCTCCACCACACCCTATACCGCCGCCCCTGCCGCCCCTGCCACCCTTACCACCGGGCCCGCGGCCGCCACCTCCACAACCTCCACCAGCGTACCGGAAATGAATAAGAGCGATGCCTTTAGCAAAAGCACTACCTCGTCAGAGCAGCAGCCTGTGACCTCCGACAAGGAGACCTCGGCGAATGACGCCGCGCCGTCATCGGTGACCTCTCCGCGGTCAGCAAAGGCGGCGACAGCGGCAGCGGCCAGAGCGCCAGAGCGCAGCGAGTACAGCACTCCGCCGAGGGTCTTTGAGACGACCACTGAGCTCACGACCTCGCCAAGCAAGGCTGAAAAAGGGACGCAAGATTCCAGCCCGCCTCCGCCGACCGCAGGCAACGACCCTTTCCGAGACCTGGTGGACCTGGCGCTGGCCAGCTGCCGCGACAGGCCTAGGCCGCCAGGCGCCCTGCCCTGGCGGGCCAGCGGCGAGGTGGTCGAACTTGCCGGCGACACGGCATTCGTGGGCAGGTTTTGGATAGACGCGAGTCTGAAGACGGATGCCGAGCGAGGTAGCTGCTGGCTGAGCAAGACCTCTGACACGACCGCGGACGAGGTCTCCGGCACGCCCCCACCTTCCGGGAGGGAGACCCGCACCGTGACCATCGTCTACAACAACAACGCGATCAGGACCGGCGCGGAGGTTCACGCACCGCGAGTTCAAGTTCCGGACAGTGTTCTAACAGGAAACTCTCTGATTGCAAAGAATGCTCAAGGCCCAGCGTTTGTTGGAAATGAAGAATGCGCTAAAAGTCCAGAGAATGTTACGATCTCGGACAAAACTGAAACCCTAGAGAACATTGAAATACTAGGTAATGCTTCGATTCCGGAGCAAATTCCAATTTCAGACAATACTTCAATTCTAGAGACTGTTCCAGCTCCAGAATTAGGTCAAATCCCAGAGACTGTTCAAAGTCCAGACAGGGTTTCGGGTATGAAGAAGGTACAAGTTCCCAATATGGCAGAAGAAGTAATGGATATTCCATTTAGTGAAACAGGTTTAGACGTGGGGGGCGCAGTGCCGCAGCTGGTTCCGCAAGCGGTCCAAGTGTCGGCGAAACAATCAGAAAACATGGCGTCTGATCAATCCGAGTGTCCAGAGACTCCCCAGGGGGCAGACTCGCACCCTGCCGTCACTCTCCTGGAGGCAGAGTCTCACCCTACCGTCACATTCCAGGGCCGCAAGTACTTCTTGGAGGAAAAATCGAGTCCTCCTTTTCTTACTGACTCAGGATGGGACGTACTTGTCCAGGACGAAGATGTCAAACTCCAGGAGGTGGAATTCGCGAAGGGCCTCAAGGACCGTGTCGGTGAAGAGAAGGAGAGGCCGAGGCAGGAGGCGCGGGGCGTCTGCGTGAGGCTGGTCGGGGCCGCGGGTGACCGCCTGAAGGACACCTCCAAGTGCGCCCTGCAGCACACGGCGACCCTTGCCGCAGCCCCCATGGGCGACAGTCTGGCCGAGGTCCTCAGCACAGCCCCCAGTCTCGGGCCGGTGAAAGCGACAGTGGCCGAGCAGGTTGCCAGTGCCGCTGCCACCATCGCGGCCTCGGTCTCGGCGGCGGTCCAGGCCGACTCACCGTGCCCGCGGTGCGGACGCAAGGCGGGCAGGGCGGGCGCGCCAGGGTGGTGCCCCACCAGGACGCTGAGGCCCGCGGCGAAGCCGGAGGCCGTCTTCACCCCGGCGGCCGCCCCGAGCAGCTGCTTCCAGAGGAGGAAGCAGTACGAGGCGACGCTCGAGACGCGTCGCCAGCCGCACCCGCCGCACTCGGTGAGAGCCAGAACAACAAATGCGTTCAACTGAGTTCAACATATTCAATCTCAGCTGCTCCAATTAGCAATTCCTATCCCTTCAAGGTCGCCGGACCCAACAAGCTCGTCGAAGACCTCCTGATCCTGCAGAGGCTGACGCAGACGCTGCGCACCAGGAACAGCTCCACGCCGGACGGGGTTAAAGGGCTAGAGGGTCTCAGAGGGTTGGAGGGCATAGAGGGGTTCGAGGGTCTAGAAGGGTTGGAAGGACTAGGGGGCATGGAGGACGTCATCAACGCCATGCTGGCTGCCCTCCCGGTCGGAGAGGCAGAGGCGGGAGTGGCCGGTGAAGGGCGCGTCGCGGACCGCCGAGAGTTGCGGGGGAAGTCCACGGCGGCAGCCCGCAACCTGCGAGCGCCACGCGGCAAGGTTCTCTGGTAAGTAAAAGAGTGTCTCAGGTGGACGGGTCAAGGGCCACCCCAGGCTGACTCTCGCGTGGTACTCAGGCCCAAGCCGTCCTGGGACCCCTCGCCCCAGGGTCCCGCACAGCGCTTCGAGCTCAGACCCAATCGATCGCAGCTCCGGAAGCGCCCCAAGAGGTATGGTGTCTGTAGACTAACAAGGTTGAGTTGCGTGGCCGGCCGACACCTCACCTCCACCCTCCGCGTTCTGCCGTACCGCACAGGCACAAGGGGAGCCAGGTGGTTGTGGCTGCGGCGCCGACTGGGACCGACACAACTACGCCGGGCCGAGGCCGAAGGTGCGTAGTTGGCTGACGAGTGTCGCACGGTGCAGCGAAGCAAGGCCACAACAGCAAACGGTTTCAGGGGCTCGCCGGCGGGCACCGCCCTCCACAGCAAGGTGCGCCGGCCGCGGGGGAAGGTCCACGTGCAGCCGGCCCGCTGGCTGGCGCAGCCCAAGTGGCACCAGCAGCTGGCGCACCTCGCTCGCCACGGTGAGCGCCACGGGATACGGACATCGCGGACAAGATCGCGACGGGACAGGATGTGTACTCTACTTACCTTCAGCAACAGATTCGTCAGGACCGTCTCCGAAAGGGTCGGCGTCGAGCACGCCGCGGCCACGTCCGAGTGAGGAGCCTGCGGGAGAGGCACAGGTGTGGGGGCCGGGGAGTGCGCTGACCTCGGCGCCCGCACTGCAGCAGGACGCGGGTGGTGGCACGCGGGTGTACATCCACGTGGTGGGCGGGGACGCCGACAAGATCGCCGGAATCCTGTCAAGCGCCCTGACTGCGTCACCCGCGTCGTCCGCTGCCGTCACCGCCACCTCCACCTCCACGGGGGAGAGCGCGGCCCACGCCACAACGACCTGCTCGATGTAGGGACGCCGACGATCGGGTGCTCCAGCCCTCTAAGGCCGGGCACTACACCACAATGTCTGACCCTCCAGCAGTCGGCTGCCCGGGCTGCAGTGGAGGCCGCCGCGGCCGGGCGTGGGCCCCGCGGACGTGGTGCTGGAGCCGGCCTACAGCTGGCCGCGGTTGCTGCCCCCGCACCCGCCCGGGCCGCTGCCCTGCTGGTCCCTGCCAAGCAGGCTGCCATGGCGCTCCACTGGAGGCTCCACCTCCAGGGCTTCCAGGCTGAGGGCGCCGCCAAGCACCAGGGAGGCAGGACCCTCAATCTGAGGACCTCAGAAGGGTCAAGAGTGAGTATGCAGCCACCGCTGACCGAGCCATGAACAAGCAGTCTTCACTGCCAGGAAGAGTTGGCTGCACCTGTCGAAGCCATCGACGACCAGCGTCGGGGAAATACATCCGACATCCGACGTGATCCTGACCATTGCATCCGCTCTTCTTTACTAGCTTGAGCTGTTAGCGTTCCAAGCCGTCGATGGTTTGGCGCAGACAGGCGCCTGCCGAGCACCATCGCCTGAGTGAACGTTGCGCCTTGCGTGTCTGTTCCGCCGTCACGCCAGGGTCTAGCAGGGCCAGGGCCGAGCGAGCGGCCTCGCCCGAGAACAAGTTGGTGTGGTATATTTTGTGGAAAGTGGTTCTTTTTTCTCACATTGTCTTCTGATACACAATTTATTTGCGGTGCAGCAACAACACAGTAAAATAAAATAGCCTCTTCCGTTGCCTTTCCAACGTTTGGATGAGGAGTACTCTGCCTCCACAACACAACTAACAACGAACTATTTTAAAATGGACCGATAATTTATAATTACAACTTCCAATAGATACTCAATGACTTCTGTAGTTTAACATCACATATACTTATATTACTAAAACTAAAATGTACAGTTGTGTGCTCTGATTGTGCTGTGCATTTGCACATTTTACTGACACATATTAATGTATTTACTATGTAATAGGTGGAAGATGAGCAGATATGCAACACCTCCACCTTGAAATAAAATCCTAGCATTGCCATTGCCCAATATCCTCACTGTACCAAGATTAGAAAAAAACAGTGTATTGCATTCACAGTGAATTAGGTTCAAATGATGGTAGCAGCAACAATTTTCCAAATATTGCCAAGAGTACTGACAATTTGCATAATAATGATAATATGATAATAATATTAAAAAGGCCTAGCTTACAGGGACTGAAATATTTACAAAAGTCTTAATTAACTATATGCATTCTAATTACCCTAGCAACTTACAAATCACTGGACAATAATAACATCAACTCTAAAATATAATGACTGTCAAGACACATCATCATTATTTTCCTATACATAAAATTGAAGATAGAAAGATGAGCAAGATAAGGCACACTTTTTTCAAATTTAAATAATTTGACACAAAGTCTTCAAAAATTTAAGACTCTTACAAAACTAAACGAAAAAAGAGCCAGTGCAAATGGAAAATAACATCCAAGGCCAAACACAAAGAATCAAAAATACACAGGTTAGAAAATTATGTATAAATAATGTTCATCACAAATAAGCATTTTTAAAGTTCAACAATGATCAAAACAGCTAAAATAACTGTGAAATCTATGTTACAGTAATTTCACAAGACAGTGAGTTAACTTCAATCCATCAAAAGAAATTTCTTTCCTTCACTTAAGAAGGAAAAACGAAGGATATCTTAAAAGTTTCAACAAATTCCTTCCTTTACCTGATAATTAGAAGAGAGAAGGTTCGATAGCTATTACCTCATTACCGCCATGGTTTGCGACTACTTCCAGCACTTGCTGATCTCTGAAGTGGAAGAGATGTTGGTGCAGATGATCGTGAAAGGCACCCCGAAACCACTTCACAATTATTGGCTAAAAAAAATAAAAAAAAATAAACAGGACTTTCTTTAGCACAGTATCTCAATGTTCATTCATGTACATGTAGCATTATGACTAACTTGTTGGATGAGGAGCAGGTCGCACTCGTGATTCTACAGCCCAACTGCGACGTCTTGACCTATTAGAAGAAGATGCTCTTGAATGCACATTCATGATGTCAGTGGGATCAGTCCTGGTCATCATGGAAGTAAATATTTTACATTGCAGCCATATATGTAAATGTAAAATATGTATATAGATCTACAAAAGTAAAAAGGAATTTGTCTTACTGATTCAGTTTTCGTTGGAGAACTATCTGGGTAGCCCTGGAGAGAGGTCGAGAACCTCCACTACTTTGGGATCTGGGTGTACGAATTCTTAGTCTCTCTCGATCAGCAGCAATGATTGCCATTCGCTTGGAGACTGAAAGTCCCATGAAAATATTATGGAGATCTTCACAAGCAGCACTCAACTGAACAAAGCATAATCAATTAAATTGAATTCAAGAACATATTTAAAACAAATAAAAATA